AGCAATGTACTGTCATTATACTGTTAAAATAGTTTTCTAAAGGGAGCAATCTATGTATACATCCACATACATTTGAATATACAGCAGGGACAAAGGAACGAGAATTATTTGCATCTGTTCTCCTCTATTCAGTGACTGTGCTCTCTGCTTCCTCTGCTATTGTAAACTGCAAATTTAAAAAACACATTACCTGACTTGTAATACCTACTTAAATACACTGTCTAAGTAGGTGTTCTGAGAGCATGGCCAAACTGACACAACATACATATAACCAGGCACAATTCTTTGTAGTAAAATCTTTCTCAATTTTTTTTTCTTCAAAGCCAAAATGGAATAAAATTACCCCATTAGGGTGGATCCAAGGTCAGTATTTCAGCCTTTAAGTTGTTGTTGCTGCTGAAATCCTGGTCAGAAAAAAAAACCTAGTAAATGACAGATCTGTGGGACAGACATTCTATCAACTGTAAATTCTTATCTCACTTCAAGAGTACATAAAGGGAATTCCAGAGATGATGAGTTCTGTCAGGTTGGTAGGGTGGCAAGATGCGAGTCTCTTTATTGAGATCCAAAAATGTTCCTTTTTAAATGTTTGTTTTGTTTTTTTTTTTTCTTTTTTTTTTTTTCTTTTCCCCATGCTGCTGTTACTGTAAGCAATGCCATTCATTGCCCCATAAAAAGGGGTACTTATCTTCTGGCAATCGTTTTCCATAGACTTAATTTTCAAGAGGAAATTCTAAGTAGAACTTTCATTTTGAGGAAGGTCCAATGTCTGCAAATTGCCACGTCAGCTAACAACAGCTAGATGGCAGAACTGAAAATGACTTAACAAATTATTTATTAAAATAAGCCAAGTTCTTTACCCAAGGAGGATATGAAAGGGATGTACTGATCAGAATGCTCAGGCTATTATGCAAGTTAACACATCTCTGGTCTCTCTGTAATTAACTCATTAATATTAGTCTTGATGGTATGGTGGGGGCTGTCTAATGAAGCACTCATTGCAAGCACATTTCTGTCTCCTGTGGGAGATGTTAATTGCCACTGACATGACACAACAATAAACAGTAGGGGTCCACTCAATTTTCGTTCATTTTGACTTCAGCCTTCTTAAGGCAGTGCTTATATGGGAGTTTCAGAAATTATTTTGTTCATGTTGGAATAGTTCTAGTTTGTGGAGGTCAACTAAGAGATATGTTCAGGTGGAAGGATTCTGTTTTAAATTCTTGTTGGGAAATACCTTGCTTTAGAACAAACCTTTCCTGCATCACTCATGCAGGGTAATTTACAGGTAACAGAAGTCCCTAACGCTGCTCTAAAAATTGCATTAAAATTAAATTAAAAACGAATAGTATGTTGCACCTGTCTGTGCTGGTTTTGACTGGCATAGAGCTAAATTTCTTCACGGTAGCTGGTATGGGGCTATGTTTTGGATTTGTGCTGAGAACAATGTTCTTAACTCAGGGACATTTTCATTATTGCTGAGCAGAGCCTATGCAGCACCAAGGCCTCATCTGCTCCTTACACCACCCCACCAGCAAGCAGCTGACCCCAACTGGCCAAAGGGGTATTTCAGACCATATCACATCAAGGTCAGCAATAAAAGCTGGGTGGACGTTTGCTGGGGCTGCCTCTGCTTGGGGACTGGCTTGGCATCAGTTGGCTGGCAATGAGCAATTGTTTTTGTTGCATCACTTGTTTTTCTTGTATTTCGTTTTCTTTTTTCCCCCTCTTTGTTGTTTTATCTCCATCCTTTTCTTAATTATTAAACTCTATCTCGGCTCCTGAGTTTTCTCTCTTTTACCCTTCCAGTTCACTCTCCCATCATGCTGAGCAGGTGTGAGCAGGTGGCTGTGTGGAGCTCAACTGCATGCCAGGTTTAAACCATGACACCTTCCTAACATCTTTAGCTTAGGACTAGCAAATCAAAGGACCATAATGTGAAATACTCCAACTTTTTAAATCACTGTCGATTTACTGTTTCTCACATGCCATTTTATATGTTCTGTCTTTGAGAAGCAATACTTCTCTCTGTAATGTCACTATAGCACCACATCTCTCTCATAAATCCTGCTACCACCGTTATTAGCCATAGAGGTATAGCATTCTAATGGGAGATGGACAACTGGATGTTTAGGCTGCAAATGTGAAAGACATCCTGAGACTAAGGATCAATAACAGCTGAGCTAGCACAAAAATTAGGAAAGATTAGAAAAATTTCAAGTCATTTGAGAGAGCTAACTTGAAAACACAAAGTGAGAAGGAAGTTCTTTGCAGTTACATATGCATATCTTAGGAAGTCATCTGTAGCCCCTAAACCAAGAGGTTTCATGTAGCTGAAACACTTTGAAGCCAGCCTTTGCAGAGTGAGCTTACCTGGAAACACTGCTATAATGTATGATCCCCTCACAGCCCTTTGCAGCATGTCATTGCTTGTTCACCTGCCTAGCACAACAAAAACTCCGGTGCTTGAAACACCTACAATAACTCCCAAGTCAAAATCTGTGCTGCTGCAAGCTCTTGCCTCTCTTGGATTTCAGGTCCTGAGTGTTTTGTCTTCTGCCATCCCTACAAAGGAGCTTGTCAACCCATCATGCCAGCTGTAGTCTCAGAGGGAAGATGTGTAGTGACCCCAAACGTAACAGCAGAGTGCACCTTGCTTTGAGACGGTATTTATTGTGACTAAGTAGTATCATAATAGAAATACAGTGTCCAGGTAAAGTTATGTCAACTGAAAAATGTCTTTCTGGACAGAAACAAAATGAGGAAGGGCTTCTCTGGTGCCGGGTGCAGCACTAAAAGAAAGGTCTTATTAGCCAAATACTAATAAAAAAGGCTTACTTAGCACCAACACAACCTCTGTTACAGTTCTCCAGCAATGACCATCTTAGCTCAGGGATGAGTGGCCTGAGACCTCCTGAAAGCAGAAACTGTGGAAATAAAGGTAATCCAACTCTAAGGGAGGAAGAGGAGCAACAGCCACCACAGAGTTCACTGAGCAGGAGGTTTAGCAGCCCTTTTGTGAGCTTTTTCAGGCTTCCCTCCTGATCTGTTGCCTTTTGCTTCCAGAACATCCTCTTTTGCTCTGCCCAAGGTGGCCAGTTCTCCTCCTGGTAGTGGCCAGGGCCTTGGTACTCTTCTTGCCCAGAATGTATAACTTAAGACATGGTGAGAAAACACTACCTTCTGACTGCTGTCTCTGGATCTGGCACAACTGAGTTATCCCTCAGGTGATTCAGTAAGAAGGAGGATAAAATTAGACAAGTTAGTCCTTGACAGTATCTTGAAGGACACAGTGCAGTGTGTTACTGCCTTTCCTTATCCTTCTCATACACACCTGCGTCCCAAGGACTTTTCAACTTCAAATTAAGAGGTCTGGACTAGTTTCCTCCCTTTGCAGACCCTCTGGAGAGAAGCACTGGGTGGAATGGCCTACCAGCTGGCAGCCAGAGCTGCCAGACTGGAGATGAGAAGGTAGTGGCATAATGTTATCCCTGCTGAGCTCTGTAGTCCTGCAGCAGCTTTTTGCAGAGGGAAGGAGAATGAAAGCAGTGAGTGAACGGGAGAACGAGCTGGTCCGAATGGCCTTGTCAGGGTGCCTGCATTGGTACTTCCCAACTCCAGCTTTCCAAGCTGTTCCAAAACGGAGAAGCTGGTGATCCATCAGGTGTCACTGGCAAAGTGAGGATGACTTTAGGAAATAGATACCACCACAGTGTGACCAGAATGGTTTGGCATGATTTGCTGTTGGAATGATTGATTATTATGGACTGCCCCTCCAATATCCAATTAAGGTATCTGCATCAGAAGTGTGACTCTATGAATGGTCTGTGCTACTCTCTCTCCTCAAGCCAGTGCAACGAAAACTTGATACTGCTTAGAGTTGGTCTCAGACCCTGTTCCCAAGGATTCTGCTAATGACTCCACTGGACCTTGTGGTAGTGATGTAGAGGAATGACGTGGCCCTGAAAGGTGGGACGTCCTCAGCCAGATCATTTCACTGCACCTCACAAGACAAAGCATTTTAGATGACTGAAGCAGAGGACAGGCTCCCATCCGCACTCATGCATCTGACTCCAGATACAGGGGACAGTGAGAACCAGAGATTCGATGACCTTGCCATTAAAGGTCTGTTGCAGCTTTGCACAGCAGGGACACAACTTTTCTTAGCGTAAAGTGGTTATGACCAATGCAACTTCTACTACAGAGTGCTATATTGCTGGTAGCCAGCCTGGTTTTCTGGAGCTGGAAGGATTCTGGGAGAAAAATAATGTCTTCTGCACCTTTTCATTGTTATAGCTAGCTACTAGGATTCCTTCTTTGAACAATATGCTGTTATTCTGATATAAATATGCTGTTTTCCTGAAGAGCAGCAAGTAAAACTGATTCTTACATGGAGCGAGCACTGCCAGCACCATCTGGTTTTGTAGTGGAGGAAGAAATTCTACTTTCAGCATTTCAGTTCTCCCCATGATCAGTCTATGAGCTATGCTACATGCTAGATTATTTAAATCAGGTAATATGGTTCTTCTTAAGGTTCTTAAACTCCTTAAGGGTTTTTGTTTCATTCTGTATTACAGTTCCTAATTTAAGTGAAGCATTCTTTGGAAGACTATAAAATCAGACTGGAAGCTAAATTACATGAGAAAGAAGACACCACCAGTAGTAATTTTATTCTGTCTAAAATGATTTTTTAATCTCTGTTTCAGTTTCCTTTATATATGTGCCACTAGAGTCCTTACTTTGTATGACAGTTGTACAGTCCTAAACCAGATTGTAGTACAGCATCTTTCAGACGAATTGGTAGGAACAGTATTTCTATTGTAAGAGGCAAGCATTTCTCAAATCAGTTCCCTAAAGCACAGCTTTTGTTGCTGATATTCTTGTTGTAAACATGCCATTCCCATCCCTGCTGCTCTGCTGCTAATAATGACTGGAAAGAAAGTGCAACCTAACACAGTATTATTTTTAAAACTTTCTCTACTTCATTTTCTCCTACTCACAATAGAGTTGGTCCACTGTGCACTCCCAGAAATGCATCATCATTGATAACTTCCAGGTATTTGTTCTTGTGCAGATAGCTGCAGAAACAAACAAAACGGAGTGATTTGGAAATACTTATCCGTAGGTTAATGAAGTTCTTCAGTTTTGCCTAGAGAGATTTACAAAAGTAGTATGTATAAGGGCCATGCTTTCCCAACAACGTACTGAAGCGTAATAAGTTACTTCATTTTCTGTGTGCCCAAGGAGCAAAATACAGGTTTGCCACTTTGAAAGTAAATTCCTCAACAAGTAATAAATAAGCAAAATAAATTTTCTTTCTTCAAATTCTTTTCCTCTCTCTGCCATACACATGAAGACGCATGTATACACACTGCATCTTCAAGTCCATGTGTGAGGATGAGGTGAAATAATCTTGGTCGACTTTCATCAGAGTGAGGTGGAATGACATGATACTTAAAGGAACACATAATAAACAAACATGAAAGTAATTCCCTCCTTGTTTTAAGTTTGATAACAAAAATTTTAAAAGGTTTAAAACCTCCATAGCCAAGAGGAGGCTCCCATATACAGGTTAACAGTTAAGAATGAAGTTCTGTTATAAGAGCAAGACAGGGAGTGAGAAGAAGGATAAATCAGAAGGAAAAATAATATAAAGCTTACAGGAAAAAAAAAAGTTAACATCTTGGGAAAACATAAATAAGTCCCTGAGTAACCAACACTTCCCTGAAATACAGAATGCTGTAAATTTCTATTGGTACATGACAGATGTAATCAAGGACCAAGATTAATCCCCCTGACTCTGGAAACTGATATATAAGAAAATGTGGATTCAGAAGTAAGGAATTTACAGAGTCGAGTTAGAAGTGCATGATTAAAGCCAGGCAATGCAAGGCTGCTGAGCACTCACAAACTTAACATAACTCAAGTGGAACAATCAATGTTAAAGACAGTTCTGTGATTTTAGTTTTAAAAGTGACTGACCTAGAATGAATCTTGAGTTTTAATTTATTTTTTTAAAAAAAACTGGATTCCTGTTTACTATGATCTGAAACTGTCAGTTGAGAAACTTCTAAATACGTGGATTATTATTGCAGGCTATTCAGTCAAGTTCCAAATTGCTTTAGAGATTGTGCATTTCTGTCCAAGACTCTTATTCTCAGTGGCCTAATAGAATTTATAGTTTTTGTGAAAAGACTTGGGAGGACTAATTGGCTTCAGTACTTCCACAACTGGAGGTGTAAGAAGAGAAAGCATAAATTAAAAACCTGCGGGAGCAGCAGAAGCACAGGCATCCTGCTTTTCTGCCAGAGTCACAGTGGACACACAGCACTGAGCACATTTTATGACATTCTATGAAGAGCAAATATACACAGAATGTGATGAAATTGAAAAATAAGCATTTTTATGTGTGTGGTGTTAGTCTGTGTGTATTAGTTTGGTATATTTGACCAGTTAGATTAAAAATGTTGATTTGGAACAACTGTCCACCTGAAAAGTACTTCACAAAACTCAACAGGCATTTTAATTTCCTTGATGAAGTGGTTCCTGCTGGTTAGCCAGGAGGGAGGAGGAGTGCAGTTATAAGCAGTTAGATCTCCTAAACACACAGGCAGGAATATGCTGAATTAGCTAAGCACTGACGAGGGACTGAAGAACAGGTTGTGACATATACATACATACATACATGTGGTTGTGTGTATATATATATGTACACACAGATACTACCATGAAAATTCTTGCCCTAAGCGAGCAATTAAGCCCTTTCAGTTGTTTAAACTCTTATTTTGATAAGTACTTCTTTTAAATGGAAAGAAAAAGACTTTGGTAAATACTAGGTGGTGTTTTCTCTTAGTACAATGTTTACATTACAAATTCTGTCACAATGTTTACAAAAGAAACAGCTCACAGACATCAAACTTCTGCTTTTTAACTTAATTTAGATGGAAATTGAAATATTGCAATGAGATTAAGAGTAATTTACCAAACACAGTAGTGCCTGGAGGAGGATGGAGGAGCATCTTGCTCTCTTGGCTGAGGGCCACTACGTAATCAAGGAGACAAAACAGCCCAAGCATTTTGGTTTTGTACTATTATGAGAAAGGACCTCTGGGAGAAGTTTGAACCAAGGCAGGAAAGGCGATGGAACAGGGGCAGGACTGCACTTCAGGGCAGAAGTGCAGTGCAACCCATTAAGGAGGAAAGCACAGAAAACTGCCAGGGAGAGTTGTCAAGGGGAGCGTACGTTCCCCCTTCATGGAATGATGGTAAAATGATCAACGCTGTAAAGGCCCTGAAGGACCATGGTGCCTAGGCAGAAGAGAGTCATAGCACCTGTGACTATCCTGGTTTTAAATTTTACCCATTTTCTGTATAGTGGAAAAGGTAAAATCTAAAGGGCCCAGTAGCAAAGCACAGATCAAAGCATGTGGCTAAAGTCTAGGAGCAACAACAGGGTCCATAGACTGCAATGTTACAGGTAGCTCAGGTCCGGCAGAAGCAAGAAGAAGAACTCATAGTGACAGAGGTATGACAACAGGGAATGACTCAGTTGATGTTTCACCAACAAGGGCACAGGGCTGGTGGAGGCCTTGTAATGCAAGAATGAAGAAAAAGGTGATGACCACAGATAGTAAGTGTAAAGCATTGTTCAAGAGAAAATTATGTGATCCTCAGGCCAGCTCAAGGACAGAAACTTTGCAAGGATTGCAGACAGACTGCCTTATGGAGGTCATGTTTCACAGGGTAGATAAAAGCCAAGAAAATTCCCAACGATGAGATCAGCAGCAAAAGAAATAAATAGAAGAAAACAAACAATATTGCCCAAGTGAAGCCCAGTGATATTGTTCAGAATTTAAACATAATTAATTTTAAAAAAAAGAATTTAATAACATTTCAGAAGGCAGGCGGCAGAGAAATTATAAGATGACCAAACCTATTAAAGAAGTTAAACGAAATGAAAGGAGAAAGAATTTGATACTTCTTATGCAGGTATTAATACCTCAAGCAGAAAGGGCTACTTGGTGCTGTAACTGTTGCAAACATTTAAAGCTAGCTTGTGATGTAACCAAGAAGGCAAAAAATACAATAGAAAAGTTGTCACAACAGATTTCACAGGGTGTCCATGAAGCTGCTGGGAATTGTGCTCCTTGTGGCAGTCAGTGGCCAAAACTACTATTTGAGATGGTGGCTGTAGAGATAATTAAATCGACTCAGAAAAGCGCAGATGACCATAACTTTATCTTTGTGCTGGAAAAGTCTTTCACATTCTGAACTGAACAGAACTGGGGTTTATATGTAAAAATAATAGTCAGAGCAATTGTTTCTTGGTGTGGAAAAAATCGAGTAAAGATTGTAATCCTGTCCTGGTTGAAGCCATTGGCAAATTTTCCATCGTTATATTGATCACCATAGTGAGAAATGAGAAATAAATGCACTTTGGCTGGGTTAGACGATACAAAGTCTCAGAGAGCCAAGCCAGAGTAACGCTTCTGGCATGTTACTCATTGGACATTACCCATGCCTAAAGCCTTATTTCTTACAAAGGACAATAGCTTACTTCATCTTCTCATCTATTGTTTGAAATAAGCTTTCATTCTTTAGAAATATATGGCCTTCTAGTATCACCTGACATTTGTGTTTTCTGAGACCTGACCTTCATGTTTTGTTAAATGACAACCTAGTCACTTAAGTGTCGTGAGCTTTTGCTCCAGTTTGCAAATTTCATCATGATTTTTTTCTGCAGATCTAATATACAAATTAAAACAAGAGCAAGAGCCAAGTATTAATCCATGTTTTCAGCATCTAGGTTGTGGTTTTGAAGGACAAAATACCCTGACCTAATAAACCTGTCTTCTTTAGTAACTAGACATTATGCAACCAGAAAACTGCTTGTCTGATTTTGAAATATTTTCCCCTGATATTTGAGTACTACTGTGAGTCATAAACCTGAAATATAATAGTTTATGTAGACAATACAAAACTTCAAACTCATGAATAGAAACAGCCAGCTAGAGGCTTTTGGGAAGTTCATAACCACGTGTTACCAAGGAGGGGGCTGCAGTGTTAGCTGCCAGTTTTCACATCGATGAGTCAGGGCCATCAGAATGTACAATTTCCTGATGCTAATTGATTTCAGTTGTTTAAACTGTTTTATTTTGATAATATCTCTTTAAAATAGAAAGAAAAAGACTTTGGTTAACACTAATTTGACAAAGTAAGTTTATATATAGCCAGCATAGCTCCTTCTGAAAATGCCTGTAATTCTGCTGTTACCAACAGCTAAACGATATAGAATCTCATTTAAATACACTGCAGAAAAGAAACCACAACAGTGGTATCCAGGTCTCTAAACAAAGGTTGGAAGTCTTAGAAATCACATGGATGAAGTGGAATATCTATCCTCAGGGGGGACACTAGAATAATAGTAATTTTGGAAGTTTTTTGAAAAGTGGAAGGCAATCAGAGAGACATGGATACCACAGTGCAAAGTATGCAGGAAATGTGGAGCAGTAAATGCTAAATCTGGAGTAGGGTATGCTGATGGTTTCATAGTGCTTTACGTGAAAGAAGGTGCCTTTTTTTTTTTTTTTTTTTTTTTTTTAAATAAAATCAGATCAGTAAGCTAACTATGCAAGTGACTAATACAAAGTCACGATGGACTCAAGATCCAGGGGTAAGTGGGAAATAGATTGCATTAAGTCTCAGCCCCACCAGAAAACACGACTGTAGTATCCTGAGTAGGTTCTTCTGAGGACATGAAACAGAAAGAGGGCATTTCAACTGCTGTGTAAAACCAGACAATGACATGTCAGGGTATGACAGAGATGCTAAGTGCTCAGACATTATCAGTGCATGATTCATAAAGCAACAGGTTAGAGAGTTTGCCTGAGGAAGAGCAACTTCTGATTTCAGCTTGAGTGATATGCACATTCTGTTTCAAAATGTTACAGTCTAAAGTCTGTTTTATAAGAGCAACCACCAGGTCCTGATGCTCAGCAACTCTATAGCACCAAAAAGTCGAAGGGCACACCACAGCTATAGTGTCCAAAAAGGAGAAATATATATATACATATATCTATATATATGAAAACACTATTCAAGTTCAGTTTTTGAGGGCACTCTGGGAGCTCTCCAGGGACACCATTTTGGATATACAGAGCATATGTGAAAAGCATGAAATGGTGAAAGAAAAACAAAATCCCAAATATTAAAAATACTCAAAATCATCAACTGAGTTGGAAAACTGAAAAAAAGCTGAAAGATCTGAAAGTATTTTTACAAAATATTTTATTTTTACCAAAAATGTATTTTCTTCTGAGGATAAAGGATATGAATGAAAAATGCTGACCACCTACTTCAACTAACTAACATATAGTTCCACATCCCTTTTTTTCAGTGTAAAAGGTTTCTATTTCTCTTCTTGCATAGTCCAGGGTCATTCATGACATCCCCCATATTGTAACTGGACACAACTTTCTTGAGGGTTTTTTTATGCTGGGTTATTTTACTGATAAGGTTTCTCTACAGCCCCACAGTCAATTTTGTCAGCTCAGGGAGTGACGAAGTAAGAATGAACAGCCAGATGAGAGAAAAAGGGAGGTTTTGCAAAATTTTCTTCCAAAGGATCACTTAGTTAAAAACCAAGTAAAGTTACTGAAGTTCCTAGTTGGAATACCTCACTGGTTTATGGAATTATGTATTAGTTGATAGTATCTGCTTGCTTTCTTTCAGCTTTGGATTTTAAAATTAAGCAGCAAAGCTTAAAAAACAAAGAGAAAAAGGATATGTTTGCCACACATTTAAGTATCACTACTACAGTATTAAGCGGGCTCTGGACATGTAACATGTTAATGTATCTCTGTATCCTGTTGGATTATGAAATGTAGGTTAAAGAAAAGGGGAACAGGCAAAAGAGGTGCATTGGTAAATGGGCAGTATTAAGGATTCATTGTATGTTTTTTTTATATCATTGTTTATCTTGACTCTGAGCTAAGCCAAGCATCATAAATGATTCCTCAAGTAAATATATTCTTTTGGAGCTTATTTTTGTAATTAGATTTTGAGATTGCACACTTTCCATTTCAGCAATTTAGACAGCTCGTCACAAATAGATTTAGCCATTCACTGTAAATATGTTTTTGAAAATCTTTCCTCTCCAGTTTCCTTACAGAAATAAGCACTCTTCAGAAGTCTGCAGGAGTCATGCAGTTTGTGGACCTTAATGATGTGTTCGAAGGAGGGACTCAAGTTTCCTGTGAGTGCTGTTCAGTGAAAGTGTCATTCAGCCTTTCAATCCTGGTTCTTTACTTCCCTGCCTTTATAAAACATATACAGCGATACCATGGTTTGCTGAAAAACACAGATCCTTGTTGGATGAGAAGCTCTATCAGGCAGTGCTATTATTCTGTACGATAATGGTTCCATGTTACGTACAGTTCCACACCTATATCTGCATTGTTTTGACCTCCTTGAATTACATAGTTCTTTTAACATTGCAGGAGTGGTAGAAAGACACAGTGCATGGTAGAAGGTAGCCTCTGAGACTGAAAAAAATGTCCTTGGACTTATAGATGGAACACAGAGTCTTTGAATGATTTGTCAAAATGAATCATCGTTGTTGGTTGTCTTCCTCCTTCAAAACCTACTAAAATTTCTTTCCCTCACTTTTTCTCTTCGTTTCTTTTTGCTCCTAGTTTCATCAAGTCTAAAGGACATTGGAGCAGGCCCAGAGGATAATGGGTACTTTCTGTGCTGTACAGTGGTAGATAAACAGGAGTTCAAATTAGAAATGTCAGGATACAGAAAATGAAATATTTGCCTTTTGCATTAACTTAATGCTGCTGCTAGAAACAACTCTCCAAGCTCGCGCTTAATTTGCAAAATTATACCTTATCTTGTCATATGGTAACCAAACTACTTCAGAAAATGAGTTTAGAAATTTCAGTGTAGTTTATCAAACAGATAAAGGCTTTACTGCTGATGTTCAGCTCCCTAGTTTGCCTTGTAAATCTGGAGTACTGCTTTGCTCTGAGTAAATGTCATATGATTTAATTAGGAGAAAACTGTTGTAATAAACCATTATTACTGCTAGTAGATAAAGCCCTGAAAGTAAGCCTGGTTTTATTTTTTTTTTCTTATGGTGTTGTTTTTTTTGTTTTTTTGTTTGTTTTTTTTTTGTTTGTTTGTTTGTTTTAATTATTTTTTTTTAATTTTCTTAACTAGTGTATCATAGTCTGTGTCTGCAAAGACTCACTTAGAATTATAGAATCATAGAACATCTCAGGTTGGAAGGGGTCCATAACGATCATTGAGTCTAACTCCCTGCTCATCACAGGACTACCTGAAACTAAACCATGTAAGTAAGAGCATTGTCCAGACACTCCTTGAACTCTCACAACCAGTCTTGGCCACATCCTGGATCTAGTGAGTGACCACCCCCTCAGCGAAGAACCTTACTTCTAACTTTTAGTCTGAACTTTCCCTGACACAGCTTCATATAATTTCCTTGTGTCCTTCTGAAGTCACCAGAGAGAGGAGATCAGCACCTCCCCCTCCACTGCCCCCTTGGAGGAAGTTGTAGACTACCATGAGGTCACCACTCAGCCTTATCTTCTCCAAGCTGACCAAACCAAGTGACCTTAGATGCTGCTTGCAATTCTTGCCCTTGAGGCATTTCTGCATCTTGGTCACCCTCCTCTGAACATTCTCTAATAGTTTGTCGTTATGTTGACACACTCAAAACTGCACGTAGTACTCGTAGTGGGGCCACACCAGTGCAGCACAGGATGGGATAATCACCTCCCTCAACTGGCAAACTATCCTGTGCTGGATGCACTGCAGGAAATGGTTGGTCCTTTTGGCTGCCAGGGCACACGTGATTAATATTCAACTTGCCATCAACCCAAACCCCCAGATGTCTTTCTGCAGGGCTGCTCTCCAGCCTCTTGTCCCCCAGTTTGTATATATTAGCAGGAGTACCCTATCTCAGGTGGAGCATCCAGAACTTGCTGTTGTTACATATCACATAGTTAGTGATTGCCCAGCGCTGGAGTCTATCCTGATCTCTCTGTAAGGCCCTCTAAGGAACAGAAGAGCCAAGATGGTTCATATACTGGCCAAGGCTTATTAAAAATTTAAGTATTGCATATACAGCTTAGAGGGATGCAGTCAAGATACTGGATTAATTTTGCTGTATTTTACATCTTGTGGTTGCTGTTGGCACTCCTACAAACATTATGTCATCATGGAAAACTTCCTTTCTCATATGAAAGTTTAAAGTAATGAACTAATGTGAGTAAAATAAGACCTATCCCAGATCTTCAGTTTAACTCAAATCTCTGAAAATTTAGGAAGTCTAGCTAGCTAAGGAAAAACAAACAAGTGGTTTGGAAAGATTAAGACCATGCTTTTATAGAATTCTTATACAATTCCAAGTCCAATTTATAATGAAATACTGAAAATTGTACCTATCCTCATGCTTCCCTGGTTAATTTAAGAGCTCAGGAGGAAGAAATCTCTTCACTCATGAGATAACCAGCCAGACTCTTCAGTCAAGCCTCTGTAGGACCAGAGTAAGCTCTGCCAAAGCGAATGGAGCCTTTGGAATTGAGATTTCTTCTATGTTAGTGATTCGACAGATGATCCTGGGTCTGGTGCAAAAAGGATACTCGGTCACTAAGTACTGGTTTTCCAGAAACTAGAATAAGGTGAAGGGAAAGCTGAAATTATTGCTTCACACTTTTGAGATGCCCATCACTCCTTTCTAGTGCAGGTGACTGGTTCCTCTCAGTTGCTTCCAATACCTTACACCACTCTCTATTCTGCAGGTAAATGATTTCTGTGACAGGGCTGCTACCATTATCAGTGCTACACTTACTAAAATAAACTGTCATGTTAGTAAAATAGCATAATTATCTTCTAAATTGTCTTAGAAATGTAACTGATAAAAAAAAAATTATTGTAGCTTCAAACCAGAACAAAATTCACATTAGAATGACCTGCCATTATTTTATTTCTGAGCTATAAATATAGATACCAAATTAAAGCACACTGCAAAAGATATTAAGCGCTGATACTTTTATTGCTGGCAAAATTAGTATCTTCTCTTTGCTCCTTAAAAATAATTAGAATATATATTTGAGAGCCTCCAACAAGCACAGAGTATTTATTATATAATATTTTTTTTTCTGAAAGAAGAGAACAATCTACTTACATAGCATCCAGATTTGTCCCGTTAAAAGCATGGCTTTGGATGCTGGTAAAACCATTATTGTAGAGTTTGCTGCAAGCAAAAAAAATATTTAAAAGAAAATTAGTGTATTTTAGGTTGCTTCAATACCTGAATACCTAAAATCTTATGTATCGGGGTTTTTTTTTTGGCAACAGCACATTTATGATGGGTTAATTTTAATCTCTTGAAGAAGCAGCAATTATAGTGCAAGGTCAAACAAATGCCCAGCAGCATTCTTGAGTGTAGCTGAATCAAGAATACCATGTGGCAGGTGTGCCATCTTTACAGCAAAGGTAGAACTAGGCTAAACCACTTTGCTATAACTTTCCCACCCTCAAATTAAAATCAAGGAAACAAAATTCTGCTAGGCCTGATTAAGGAAGGCTAAAGGAACTAAGAACTAGGAAAGCAGGTATGATTTTACTGTCAAGCCTGCCTGAGCGTTTAGAATTCATTCCTTTAGAGCAGAAGAATTTTTTTTTTTTTTAAATTTCTTTCGAATTCATTCTCTTGCATTCTAGTGCTCTTGCCCCCAGTTCAGGTCATAACTCATTACAGTAATTTTCACTCCACTCAGCCCTTTCTTGTGGCTCACATTGAGTATGACTTGCATAAATGAACTTTAGTTAACAATTTTCCTTCAAGTATGTCTTCTGATATTTGCCACCTGTTAGATTTCATGGTATGTACCACTTAGGTTGTAGAAAATTTAGACACAGTTCTAATGATGCTGTAGATTTACAGGAAAACTTTGCAGATGTTTCCCTTTGATTTTCTCCAGTGTAAACCTTCAGTGGCATTAAGGTCACACAAAAGCAAAACCACTTTGGTTAAGCCAGTTCAAAGAAAACAGCAGGCTGAATTCAAATTACTGTCAAAGTAAAGAGTTTATGCAAACTACATTATAGATACTACCTCTATATGGTGTTTCTCTCTCACAAACTACTGCAGACTAGGATAGGGTTTTTTATTTTTTTTTAAAACATTTTATCATATGCTTGAGAAAAGTAATTGCCTTGTGACTTAAACTGGAAGAACTTACAGAGTTAGAGATTCATTACAAAGCCCATGGAAAGCATTTGCAGGCACTGAAGTCATGAAAGGATTATCTGCGATTTCGCTGAAAAAGGAGACAAAACATCACAATCAAAATCTGCCCAACAGAGCTTCTCTAGAACTATTATGTTATTAATTGTCCTCTGTCTTGATAATAAATAAAAGTGTACAATATCTTAGTTTTAGTTATATCTAAGGCCAGAAGACAAAAGTGGAATGATTAAGCAAGTTGCAGCATCCAGGAAGGGAGCTGGTGAAGTAGATGGGTTTTGTAGTCCTGGTGAGGTATAGCAGCTTGGGTGATTATAGTGGTTAACAGCATGGACAGATCTCTTGTCTCATAAGCCACAGAATTACCAAAATAGGTAGTGCTCCAATGTCAACTGAGCCAGCCCGATGACTTTAGAGCTGAGATCCTGCTCTCTAGCTAAGCTTGGATAAGACATCAGATGTTACATGACTTAGGACAGTGGCATTTCACTTTAAAGAACTGCATATAGCACAGATTAAATAAATTATATGTTCTAACTTAGTGATTGTTCTCAACTCTTCTCCAAAAGAGTATTTCACTATCTGTCATTTCTTAAATACTTTCTTACTCCCTCTCTGCAGTCTTAATAAATAGTATGTCTCTTCAGACCAGAACTTCATTGTGACAAAAGGGATAAAGGAAAACTAAAGAGATTTACTATGACTAAACTGGAGAAGGGAGAGGAAAAAGCTAGTAGAAACAAAGTCCAGAGCAAAGTGTCTGATTATCCTTGTTCTGCTTTTTCCTGAATCTGGAAATAAAAATATTCTGCCAATTTTTCTTTTTTTCTGCTTGTGGATCACATGTGGTCTAGCAAGGCCAGACTGTGACATCCATGAGCTGAGAAGGCCTAACAATTGCCCATATGACAGGAAAAAATTCATTCTTTTTCTGTGCATATATATGTACTAGCACTGAACAGTCATAAACCTATTTTAATCACAGAATGTTAGGGGTTGGAAGGGACCTCTGGAGATCATTGAGTCCAACCCCCCTGCCAGAGCAGGACCATCTCGTCTAGGGCAGGTCACACAGGAACGCATCCAGATGAGTCTTAAAAGTCTCCAAGGAAAGAGACTCCACAACCTCCCTGGGGAGCCTGTTCCAGTGCTCTGGAACCCTTACAGGAAAGAAGTTCTTCCTCATGTTGAGGTGGAACTTCCTGTGCTCCAGAAGTAGCACAGTAATTAATTAATTACTGCAATTAATTCCCAGTAGCTTTCACAATAGGTGGTTTCCACCACAAGTTTAGTTAGACAATTTTCAGATTGGTTCACTTTTCTAAACAAATATTTACTTCTAAGTTGCTTGACCGTGAAGGTCACAAAATATACAATGATATAATGAATGCTTTTTCCCCAGCTTTACCTTATTAATCGTTTAGAAACCTGTTATTCTTCAAAAGCAAATTTTCATTGTTGATGAAAGAAACAAAAAGACTATCTTTCATTGCATAGCAATGTTTAAAAATACCTCCCTTGAAAGTGCAGGTCTACTCTTTCAGAAGTCTTTAGCATATAAGACTCATGTTTATTTTTTGTTAGTGATCTTCATAAAAAATTTTAAAGGTAGAAGTAAAATAGTATTTTGCTATCTGCCAGTTAGAAAGTCACTGAGGGGGCTGGAAGCAAAGACACACATGGTTGTGTAAACTGCTGTTTCACCTAGCCTATTTAATTCTTGGTTCACTCTACTTCATAAGCAAAGCATTCAACTTACTATCTAGTAGAGCTTAATGTAAGGTAAAGCCTTTTTGGTCTTTGAGAAACTCCATAGTAGTACTCAAGATGTAGGTGTATCCCACTCAGAGCTCTGGATGACTCAGGTTTCAAACTTGGAGGCCTACAGCCAAGGCAAATGTAGCAGCCCCAGGTTATAGAGCCTGAGCTAGCACAAGGCTTACCTCTAGTCCCAGAAGATCCTTGGGAGGGAAGATCTCATTGCTCACTACATGTCTAGACTCTTTAGCAGAACAACCAGCACTTCTACGTTGCTGTATTGTCTTGCTAATGGCAGACCATGAATGCAGTGGGGACTGACCATTTTTGACTAAGGATGCCCCCTAGCAGCACTGAAACAATGCCTGGGGTAGACCATCAATCATGTCTTTGCAAGTCACCTTCTAGTGTAATATTTCTCATTTTTAACAGCCTTTCACCTGGTTCATCCAGCAGTCAAGCCTCTTCCAGATGAACCTTGCTACAATATAAGATTGTTAACTCCTCCCTAGGACTAAGTAGTGACCAAGATACTTTTACCTTGTCAGCCTGAAAGTCTTCATCTGAGCTGCTCTTCCTCCTTGGCTTGATTACAATCCAGAATTTGAATTTACATTTCAGATTAGGGCACAAAGATGGATGTTATCTTTGCTCTCTGGATACCAAGAAACTCCTGCCTTTTTTTAACAGCAGAACTCTGTTTCTGAAATACCTTTAAGGATAATAGTGGGAGATGCCCCTGGCCCTATTTGTGTTCCTATTGTCTCTTTAAGAAATTGTTCTGCAATTTGGTTCAAGCCATGTTAAAAAAAAATAAATTAGGAGGCAGTGTATTTAATAAAACCAGTTAAAGAAAATGGGTTTTAAAGTGTGAGAAAGGAAGGCCTTAGTGTTATGTAGGAGTGCCTCGTGAACAAACCCAACTAAATTAGCAAAGCTTGATAGTAAAGGAAATTCTTTCAAGCTGAAGACTTCTGTTAATGAGAGATGGCTCCACACAGGAAAAGTAGCTTAAAAGTAGGCAATCACCAGTGCTGGTGCTGTGGTTCTTCAGTGAGGCGACAGACTTGTACTTGAAATGTGACTCTACAAGTAAAGTTGGGAAAAGGTATTTAGGCAAAGTGTGTGTTCATGGAAGCTCATGCTGCCAATCTAAAAAAGCAGGTATCTCATTCAACTGCTATGAAAAAAGGATGAGTGACAGAACGGAGGTGGGTAGTCCTCTTTCTTAAAAACACACTGTGCCAGCCTGAGCTGACCTCACCACAAAGGCTGTTGTGAAACCAAGGTGCTTCTGGTCTACTGACTTAAAAGTTCAGCTTTGGTAATTTGCTTTTTCAGCTGCTCTTTTTTCTGTGTTCTTTATTTAAATATTAATTGTATGAAGCAACATATTTTGGATAAAGTAAGTCTTCACCAAAATTTTCCTAAAAATGTGAGCACAACACTGAGCTTTTTAAAGGTGTAGTGATACAGAATTACTTTCAAGGTTGTCCAGTTCTCCCGCTATTGAGTCTTCTGGGTGGGGTTAGAAGAAAGAAGGCAGATAGCAAATGGAGGTTATAATTCAACAATATAGGAGTTCACTGAAGAGTAGTATCAGAAAATGTGCAATAAGAACTCACCATGCAAGCACAAATTTGTTAGATGAATGTTGACAGGATGATTTCATGTTAGCAGGCTGTATGTCAGATCAGGCCCCATGTGTCCCACTAGTCTGACTTCAGACCAATTCAGGTACTGCACAGCCATTAGAAAACCAAAACCAAAGTAAAATCAAGAGATCTGTAGAGGTTGTGTATCACATGCTTTGGATAATTCAAGAGAAATGCACTTGTGTGTCTGTGTCTCTCATCCAGGCTGAATGTATGCTGCTAGGTGACCTGGCATTTTCCAGGTTTGGTGTTAGTGATTATTGAAATATAGCTTGAGGGAAAGGGCTTTTTTCAGACTTATTTGATATTTTTCTCCTTTACTATAGGTTTTCGTCACATCTGAGGTGGGACATATTCTAATCAGCTGCGAGGACAGATACTTACAGTAAGAAGTTAACATCAGATGAGGAGATTTTGGTGACGTCTGGAAATGCTTTGAGTCCAGTATTAAAAATACCACTGAAAGAGGGAAGAAATTGAAAGAATTACGTATCACTGAACAACAAAAAATGTATTTAAAGCATTCAACAGTTCAGGATGGTTATTTCTTCCTCTCTGTTGTCAGTCAATTAATTTATAATCAATTGTCCAAAATACAAGGATGCAAGAGCAATTAAAAAATCAAAATACCAGTTTTATTATAAATTATAGAATCTAATAAGTGGGAACACAGAATAAGATGATGGCTAGGCAGATCTGCAGAGAGAAGTATCCTATGAGGTGAGCAGGGAGGAAAAAAATTATAACTGGATTCACTTGACATTAAGCTGCTTCAGAGAATACTCTGGACCCCTAAATCCTCTATCCTTCATTGAGGCTAAAAGCTGTTCAAATAGCTCTAAAATGGGACACTGTCTTAAAATGTGAATACAGTTAATGCCCCTTATTTCTGAACCTTTGTAGAGTGGAAAGAACTTAAGAAAATATAATTATCAATTTTAAAAACTATTCTCCTGAAATGAAACTGTTTTGACTACTTTCTTTTTGTTACTTTCTGATTTACAGGAAAAATCTGGAAAAATCTTTCTTCCTCTCCACTACTACATACACAGCCCTTTCTAGAGTCTTCCAAACGTGACTCAGAATCATAAAAGTTTTTGTCATCTTTTTTTCCTATAATTTCATGGTTTGGTTACTCCATGCTGCTCTTTTTTGAAATTTCATGGTAATACAGGACTTCAGGACTTCTTTCTGCCATAGGGGTCATATGAAATCAGGTGTCTAATAGATGTGCTTGTCACATTTACTAACAGGTATGCTTTAAAACCCTGTGTAAATATGTAATAAATATAGATGTGTATATTCCTGATGTGTCTGTTCTTCCCACTATTCCCTACAAAAATATAGTAAGGGAGCGCTTATTTTAAGAAGGAAGCTAGCTGTGGAATTCTGCCAAGGAAACATTAGTGTATTCCAGACATTTAATGGATAAGAAGAAAGGCAAAACTACTGATGAATTTGTGAACATGTTTTCCTTTTTCTCAAAAGTAGTCAAGGTTCCAACTCCTAACCTAGCTGGCTTTCTGTCATCAAAATAAAGCATCAGGGAAAAACATTGCAATCAGTTACAAAATGTAATGTAAAGAAACAAAGCTGCTATAGTATAAAAAGTCATCTTTACAGGCTTAAGTGCTAGCTTGTTACAGGTGTTAAATACTCACAGGTATTTCAAAAGTGGGAGGTTCTTAAAGGCATCTGGATCTATGTAATCCAAGTTTCTAAGATTTCTAATTTCACTGAAAAAAAGGAAGGAACGTTACCACATTGATCATTAATATTTAACTATTAATCATAACAGAAATCAGCAACATTGAAATGAAATTTCAGGGACCTAATCCCTGCACTGAGCTTTTGTACTGGCCAGCACCAGCTCAAGACCACTATGCTTTCTGAGCAGTTCAATAATTCAGTGAATTATTATTACCTGGGTAGATGTGGTCCTGGAGACTGGCTAATTTAAGCAAGGAGGGAAGAAGCACCTGAGATTGGATTATGGATCCTTTGTCTGTATGGTTCTAAAATCAAACCAATAGCCTGTGGTAATGATTATTACTTTGAACATAGTGTCTGCCAAGTTGCGTCAAAACAGGAAAGCAAGCAAAATTTTCAGCATTGATATATAATAATCCTATTGGTTTACAACCATCTATATAGTTTATAATTTTATGTCCTATTTTCTGGATACTTCCTTCATGTCTCTAACAGCATTCTATATTATTTTTCTTGTCTCTTTTACAGAACTCATCAGTGGATCCAAAATATGGCTCGTGTCACCAAATTAACTCCATTCTGACATTTGAAATGGACACACCATTCACTATAAAGCCATGTCCTGCAGCAGAGAGGGTAGTGTATCTCTTTGCTTTATACTGATGCAAAATGTAACATACGCTTACTTCATTCTTTACATCTTCTGTCCACAGCTATGCCTTTAAATTCTACCCAGGTGACAGCCTGGTCTGCAGATGGCTTTTTAGACTGCACATGTTGAAGAACCAGCCTGACACTGATCATGGCTATGGCCATGCTGGTTTCTTTCTGTAGGTGTGCTGGTTGGGCTGGGCCCCTCCAGCCATCATGATCATTGCCTTGCTTCCTGACTCTTCCTCATGTCTCTGAAGTCTTTGTGTCTGCTCTGAATGCAGTCTTTCTCAATCTTTCTCACTCCTTTTTTTTTTCCCACCAGATTTCATTCTTTTCTATCCATAACAATAGTCCAACAGTCCAGCTGCATCTATCGCACTGTGCCAAAATCCCCTGTCTAGACTCAGTAAACCTACCAAATTTTCATCTGTTATTAAAAAAACCCACCCATACCTGCCCCCGTTACATGCACACCTTTAATTTCCTGGCCTTTTTACTGTCTCCAGAAGGGGGTAATTCTCCGTCTTTCCTTCTATTTCTTTGCCTTAAATCATCTCTGGACTCTACCGAAATATCTCTCTGTCTTTCTCAATATAGAAACCATATAGAAAGAATGGTGCTGGTCTTCTTCCTGAGATTAGCTGTGGAGCAGTGGCCTGAGGGAAGCACTTCTTGCTACTTACCTAGAGAAAATGGATGAAGATGACACTTACAGATACCATGGTGGTGCAGGTTGCGTGCGTGGGTGATGTTCTGGTCTTAAGTCTGCCGAGAAGTGGTGCTACTGGGCAGACACTCAATGGGCAGAAACCAGTAATATTTATTTTACCATGCCCTAACAGTGCCAAGTAGCTTACACAATATAGCTGTCAGGAAGTTGGGTTTTAAGGATACCTCTGGCACTGCAATCATTTTTAGATGATACGATCAACTTAGTCAATTTGTCTGAGAAATAAAAGTGGGGAAAGAGATATAAGACAGTAGATAAATCAATGTGTAGCTACAGGTACCAAGACTTCAGACTCTTTATATACTGTTGTACTGACAAAATAATTCTGCTCCACCTTTCAAGTCTTTAATTTTTACTCTCTTTAGTCCAGCATTTCAAGGAGAAAAGAATTTACCTTTTACTTGCATGGTAAATGAATGTAATTAATAGCTAAACTACTGCTCTTACAGTGCTGTATTCAAACATTCTTCATGTCTGTTAGATACTTTGAACAGTGCTGTTTCTGTATTTAAAAGAAGTCTTCTCGGTGTCAGTCTCTTGTTTATCTCAAATAGTTTTCTTAGTTATGTAGCTATCACACTCCCAATAGTGGAGTTTGCTCTATAAACTTCAACTGACGTGTTTTTCCCATCACTGACTACATTTAAAGTTCTGGACTCATGAGCTTCCTGGCTAGATATTCCCTTGTTGTAGACCAAACATATTCCAGGCAAAGACGGTCTTCAGAACAACCTTTGGCCTGGAAATGGATGCTGCATTGGATACCATAGAATCATCAGGTTTTGGCTTGTTGCTATTCACAGTATTCTGTATAAATTATTTGGATGAGAGTACTGGAAGTAAGAATTTGAAATCTGCAGATGGTACTAAAACTGGAAGCACAAAATAATGCAATGAGATTCAATCAGGTTTTCATTTATTAAGAAACTGGCCCATGAGAGAGGGGGCATGTGCATTTAACAAAGGCAAATGAAAGCTGCCAGATGAGGCAGTGGGCACAGTAATCACAGAAAAGCTTAAATAACATGAGTAAGAAAATCAATATGATTCAACTGAACATTGAGAAAAGGTTTATGTTCTATTGTGGTGTTCTGTTTCCTTCACTTGGTAACACTGAAGTATGCTTTAATATATACTGTGTTCATATTTGCATTTCATCCAACACTTTGTATTACAGAATTTTCTTAAAGCCCAAGAGGAATGAAAGGGCTCATTGTGGCAGGCACTGCAGAAATACAGGTAAGAAAGAGGATGAGAGAGGTATAAAAAGGTAAAAGGTGATTTGATCAAAGTGAATGCTATGCTGAAGAAAAAAAAATAGGAGAAAAGTCCGATTTTCCCTACTTCTAGCTCAGTCAGATGTGCCTCTTGCATGTAACTGACTGAATACCTGGCTTCTCATGTCATAGAATCATAGAATCCTT